AGAGTACTAAGCTGGAAGTGGGATCAGGAAGGCTTGCATGGAAAGCAGGAGCCACCCAAACAAAGGAAAGTCATTTTTTTCTTTTTTTTTGAGACGGAGTCTTGCTCTGTTGCCCAGGCTGGAATGCAGTGGTGTGGTCTCAGCTCACTGCAACCTCTGCCTCCCGGGTTCAAGCGATTCTCCTGCCTCAGCCTCCCAAGTAGCTGGGAATAGAGGCACGTGCCACCACACCTGGCTGCGTTTTTTTTTGTATTTTTAGTAGACACGGGGTTTCACCATGTTAGCCAGGATGGTCCCAATCTCCTGACCTCGTGAACCGCCCGCCTCAGCCTCCCAAAATGCTGGGATTAAAGGCGTGAGCCACCATGCCCAGCCCTATTATTATTATTATTTTTTTTTTTACTAATGAAAACCTGGTAAGGTAAAGGTCCCCATCTCAAGTATCTCACATCTAGTCAAGGAGGCAATGAAAAGAGGAATTGAATGACAATACAGACAAAAACGTAGGGCATTTCCTGATCCAAGCAACCCATGGCACAGACTAAGTTCTGAGACAAACAAAAAGCTACAGGAAAAAATAGCTAAACTTTCATACAAAATAGCTGATTTGGATCTCAAATACAACCAGCAGCAGGCACCCAACAAAGCCTTGTGCTATTCTTCCTCTCTCCCATCCCCTCTGCCAGATACCATATTTTGGAAGATTCTATCAAACAATTAATTAAATGGCAAAGGTGTACTCCTATTTTAGGTAAAGACACAAACAAGGATCAGTATGAGAGAAGGTACTGACAATGTAATTTGAAAATAAAAGGCATTAAGATATTTTAAGTATTTCATTTTATTCTGAATAAACGTAAGGTTTCTCTAAGACTTTTTTGTTCTGTTTTGAGACGAAGTCTCGCTCTGTCGCACAGGCTGTAGTGCAGTAGCGCGATCTCCGGTCACTGCAAGCTCCGCCTGCTGGGTTGAAGTGATTCTCCTGCCTCGGCCTCCTGAGTAGCTGGGATGACAGGCGTACGCCACCACACCTAGCTAAATTTTGTATTTTTAGTAGAGACAGGGTTTCACCATGTTACTCAAGCTGGTCTTGAACTCCTTTTAGTGATAGAAATACCACATCATCTCTTCCGTGCCACTGGAGGTGTGACAGCCTCAGGATGGAGCCCAGAAGAGCCCACTATACATGTCAGTGACTCAGGTAAATGGAACACCACCCATTATAAAGACAGCACCCAAAAGGAGTACAGATGCACTTTTAATTTTTTTTTTTAAGAGACAAGGTCTCACTCTGTCACCCAAGCTGGAGTGTAGTGGCACAATCAGAGCTCACTGCAGCCTCTAATTCCTAGTCTTAAGCAATCCTCCCACCCCAGCCTCCCAAGTAGCTGGGGCAACAGGTGTACATAGTTAGTTTTTTAAATTTTTATTCTGCAGAGATGAAGTCTCGCTATGTTGTCAGGCTGGTCTCAACCTCATGTCCTTGAACAATCCTCCCACTCACGCCTCCCAAAGAAGCCTCCCAAAGTGCCGGGATTACACGTGTGAACTACTGTGCCCCACCCCAAATACACTTTACGACCATATCATCAATATAGAGAATGAGGGATTCAGACGCAATAAACATGAAAACCTTGTCCTTCAGCATTCAATTCCAATGAGCACAAACTAACTACTCTGACCAAAAATGGGTGACTAACTCTTCTAACTCTATTTTACCAGCTCCTACAAAATAAGAAATTATTGATAGTCACAAAAGTTTACAATCTGTTTAAAAATATCTAGTTTATGATCACTTATTTAAATGATTTTATAAATCCCAGTCACAAAAAAGAACTGATCCCTTTACTTTACAAGCCAAAAATGCCAAATTATTTTATCATTAAAAAAAAAAAAAGACTGAAGGGCAAAGTGGCTCACATCTGTACTCCGAGCACTTTGGGAGGCCAAGGTAGGCAGTCTGCTTGAGTCCATGAGTTCAAGACCAGCCTAAGCAACAAGCAAAATACAAAAATTAGCTGGGCAGGGTGGTGCACACCTGCAGTACCAGCTATTCGGGAGGCTAAGGTGGGGAAATTGCTTGAGCCTGGAAGGTAGAGGCTGCAGTGAGCCAAGATCACACCACTGAACTACAGCCTGGGTAATAACGGTGAGACCTTGTCTCCAAAAAAAAGACTAAGAAATCAAATAGACACAAGATAAAGTAGAAGAACATTAGTTCATACTCTAGAACTTTCCAAAAACTCTCATTAACAAAAAGAAAGCAGTTTTAAAATGAACTACATTCCTTTTTTTTCAGACACGGTCTCACCCTATGTCACCCAGTGGTGTGACTGCCTTGAGACCTCCTGGGCTCAAGGAATCCTCTGCCTTATCCTCCCGAGTAACTGGGACTACAGGTGCACACCAACATGCACAGCTAACTTTTTTAGTTTTTCTTGTGTAGAGATGGTTTTGCTATGTGCATCAGGCTGGTTTTGAACTCCTGGCCTCAAGCAATCCTCCCACCTCAGCCTCAAGAGGTGTTGGGATTACAGGTGTGAGCCACGGCGCCCAGCCTGCATGCCTCCCTTACTGGGAAAGACCAATGATATCTCACTCTACTTCTCTTTTACTTACTACTGTTCAGCAAGTACCTTATAAATGCCATGCAAATTACCTTTGCCCCTAATGATGGCTAATGAAAGAAAACTATGTTATAGAGCGAATTTCCAGAAAGTGATGACTCCTGGAAGAATGACCAATCTTACGCTGTCATCATCCTCATGAGTGGCAGGTGCAGTCAGGCTCAGGTATCCCCCACAACCCAAAATCGCTGAGGGCTCCTCCAACCTTTGGCTCACAGAGATACTTAAGCACTTGAACAACTTAAAATCTCACTGCCAAGTCTGGTACCAATGTGAGAAGTAATTCTATAGTCACTTTAAATAAATCATTCAGATAGCAGCTAAGAACAATGTGTTACCTAAACCAGTAACATGATACACATAAAAGCAGACTTAGAACAATTACCATCATCTCGATTAATCTTATGATTGAAATGTTTAATCATTCATTTCACTTGTAATCATTATCTTTTATCACTGACCAAACATGCAGTTTTAATGCCCTCCTTTTATTATTTATATTGGACATTTTAGGGTTACACTCTAAAGTTACATTATACATTTCATTGGAATTTTAAATAAGCCCTTAAATTTTAAAAACCTAATCACTATATTCACATCTGCCCTATTTGCATAAAGAAACACTAGAGGGATTCATACAAAATTAATACAAGCAGTTACTTATGTGGTGGGACACAAGGGTGACAACGGAGGAATGGGGTGAGCCTTCTCAATGGACACCTTTCTATACTGTTCAGTATTTTGAGCCATCTAAGTACAATACCTATTCAAAGCAAACTTATTTCTACAATAAGTAGAAGCTGCCTGAAAATTTTATCACCTACTACACGAATGAATTATCCTGTCAGAATTCTGTTTTCAGTTTACATAAAAAGAGACATAAGACCAATACAGTTGATGTTATTTTTAACCCCATATATGAGTATACTGGAAAACATGTACTCTGAACTCACAGATTCTTGTTTTAAAAAATAACACTTTGGTTTTTCTTTTTTTTTTTTAAATCTTAAGGATTCAGGCTTTGGAATACAAGGTGCACCTCCCCTCCTGATAATTCATTTCTAAGACTTTCAACACATATTTTGGCCCTGTTGCCTAAACCAGTACTAAGTCCTAAATAGTATTTTCAATGTGCTAAACCAATTGAGTTAATCCACAGTCACAACTATGGCTTTCCTAGTACTTATCCACTCAAGAGAGAAGCAGGAATGGAGGAGCACACAAACCAGAGTGAAAAACAAAAGAGGCAGGGAAGAGACTGACTGGCTTCCCTCTTCCTCCGCATTCTGAACAGGTTAGAAAGACTCACCTTCTCTCATCTGCCTTCATCTAAACCAAGATAGCAACTTCCTGTTCCCTGGTCCCTAGCAGCATTTACATACCCTTTCCTGAACTATTTTCCACAGCACACCTAGCTTTTCAATGACATAATTTGTGTTACTATTTTAAATGTCTTAAAACCACAGTTACCCACAGGGAACTAACTCGTCTACCTGTGCTCTCCAAAACTCCAGCCCACAGCCACCTTGATGTTTGATAGTCATGCCCCACACCCGAGGATGATCGAGGAAAAGTGCACATTTGGCGGGGCGTGGTGGCTCACGCCTGTAATCATAGTACTTTGGGAGGCCGAGGCAGGCAGATCACGAGGTCAGGAGACCAAGACCATCCTGGCTAAGATGGTGAAACCCCGTCCACCAAAAATACAAAAGATTAGCTGGGCGTGGTGGTGGGTGCCTGCAATCCCAGCTACTCAGGAGGCTGAGGCAGGAGAATCGCTTAAACCAGGGAGGCAGAGGATGCAGTAAGCCGAGATCGCACCACTGCACCCCAGCCTGGGCGACAGAGCAAGACTCGTCTCAAAAAAAAAAAAAAAAAAAAGAAAAACAAAATTATTTTAAGATTTTTAAGAATAATGTGCAAAAATAACAGATCCCACATCAATCACAGATATTTGGAATTCCACACCATTCCATCTTTATATTAGTTAATAAAATCTGATCTTTTATTTTATTTATGTATTTTTCAGAGACAGTATCTCGCTCTGTCACCCAGGCTAGAGTGCAGTGGCGCAATCTCGCTCACTGCAACCTCTGCCTCCCAGGTTCAAAAGGGTCTCCTGCCTTAGCCTCCCACACAGCTGGGATTACAGGCACCGTCCCCCCACCACGCCCAGCTAATTTTTGTATTTTAGTAGAGACAGGGTTTCACTATGTTGGCTGGGCTGGTCTTAAACTCCTGAACTCAGATGATATGCCCGCCTCAGCCTCCTAAAGTGCTGGGATTACAGGCGTGAGCTACCACGCCCAGCCCTAATCTAACCCATAAATCAGAATTAAATTCATAAAAGACATGACATTGAAATATAAATACCTTCACAAATGAAACTTGAGGGTGTTCTTTAGCTAACTCTGCCATAACTTCGTTCATCTGTGCACACTGTGGAGCCCATGGTGCCCAGAAATGGACCACAAGGAGGGATCTGTAAATCAATTAAATGCATTGATTTAAAATTATAACAATTTTGGAAATAAACAAATACTGATATAGATTAAATTACCAAAAAGAAAAAAAAAACTTTAAAAGAACTGCCTGAAGTTTTTCATATTGCTAGAATTTTGTTGTATACAACACTGCAATGTAAAAGCACTCTGCAAAGTCTTGAGACTTTCAGATAAATTTTCAAGTCAACGGCATTTTGAGTCAAGCCCATTTGAAGTAGATCTGAATATTCATCCACATCAATTAAAAGTCATGTAAATCACTGTTGTTGGGAGTGTAAATCAGTTCAACCATTGTGGAAGACAGTGTAGCAACTCCTCAAGGATCTAGAACCAGAAATACCATCTGACCCAGCAATCCCATTACTGGGTATATACCCTAAAGATTATAAATCATTCTACTATAAAGACACATGCACACATGTTTATTGCAGCACTATTTACAATATCAAAGACTTGGAACCAACCCAAATGCCCATCAATGATAGACTGGATAAAGAAAATGTGGCACATATATACTATGGAATACTATGCAGTCATAAAAAGGAATGAGTTCATGTCCTTTGCAGGGACATGGATGAAGCTGGAAGCCACCATTCTCAGCAAACTAACACAGGAATAGAAAAACAAATGCTGCATGTTCTCACTCCTAAGTGAGAGGTGAACAATGAGACCATATGGATACAGGGAGGGGAATATCACACACCGGGGACTGTCAGGGGGTAGGGGCCAAGGGGAGGGAGAGCATTAGGACAAACACCTAATGTATACAGGGTTTAAAACCTAGATGATGGGTTGACAGGTGCAGCAAACCACCATGGAACATGTATACCTATGTAAGAAACCTGCATGTTCTGCACATGTATCCCAGAACTTAAAGTAAACAAAACTAAAAAAAAAGCCAGGTAAATCAACTATATTTTCAGACCCCTGGGCAAAGTGGAAACTGAATTTCCGTATTAATGGCACAATGTTTGTGAAAAATGGTTGTAGACACATTATTACTAGTAATATCATTATTTACTTTTTAAATGTGGTATAGTGATGAAGAGACATAACCGTGGCCATAGAAACAATAGTAAGTGTTGAAAATGAAGGCATGCCAGTGGAAAATGAGGAAAAGAATAGAACTGCTTTTCACAAAGACATTCTTTTATACTTTTTAATGTTATGCTACAAAAGATTTTTCCAGGCCTGGCACAGTGGCTCACACCTGTAATCCCAGCACTTTGGGAGGCCGAGGCAGGCAGATCACTTGAGGTCAGCAGTTCAAGCCCAGCCTGGCTAACATGGTGAAACCCCATCTCTACTAAAAATACAAAAAATTAGCCAGGTGTGTTGATGCATGCCTGTAATCCCAGCTACTCAGAAGGCTGAGGCAGAAGAACTGTTTGAACCCGGGAGGCAAGAGGTTGCAGTGAGCTGAGATCACACCACTGCACTGCAGCCTGGGCAGCAGAGCAAGACTGTCTCAAAAAAAAAAAAAAACAAAAGAGATTTTTATAGGCCAGGCAAGGTGGCTCACGCCTGTAATCAGCATTTTGGGAGGCTAAGGTGGAAGGATCACTTGAGCCCAGGGGGTCGAGGTTGCAATGAGCTATGATCGTACCACTACACTCCACTGTGGGCAACAGAGTAAGACCCATTAAAAAAATAATAATAATAAATTTCTAAACATTTATAGTATGAACACAGAATAGATTAATAACTCAGTATCTACTTTAGTTAGCTTTCATACAAAATTATCTTGGCAAAGATATCTATGGTCATATCCAACTGAAAAATCCTTCAGTTTTATGGAATTCTGTTCAAATATAATACCACCTCCCAAAAAAAAACTGAAAAATCACGAACAGAAATATGTTCCATGGCAAAAAGAAACAAGGACAACTAACCTATGGGTAAAGAAAGGAATAACAAACTGTAAAAACCGATCAAATAACACCAGTGAGAAGAGAATAAGCCTACAATAAAGTGTCAGGAAAGCAGAAGCAAAGAGCAGCATGAGGATTTCGAAGGTAGAAAGGACAGGATTTGGTGACAGATGAGGCGGTCTACAGCTGACTCCAAGTTCTGGCTTAGAGACTGACGGCTAGTGGCGAAACTATGCCTCAAATCATAGTGCAGAAGCTGCCAACCTGAAGAAAGGAAGTTTAATGGGCTGTTAGTATGATGTCTAGACCTCAGGGAAGAAGTCTGCACTTGATATACAGATTTGGGAATCAAGAAAGGAACAGTGCCAGCACCAAACTGCAAAGGGATACAGAGGGACACAGAAGAGACCCGAGGTCAGCGCCTCAGAGGGCTTAGCAACATTCAGTTACGACAGATGGAGGAGAAGGAATTCATGTAGCGAAGTAGAGAAGGGATCCTAGGCGGTACTGGAAGACTAAAAGGTCTCAAAGAAGTCAACAGAAGAGTGTCAAGAGGGAGTGACAATCATCCAATGCAGTGGGAAAGGGCAACTAACAGAGTAACTTCAATAGCAGAAGCACAGGTCAGACTGCAGTCCACTGAGGACTGAAGTGAAGATGAGGAAGGAGAGATATACTCTAAGAGATCTGTACATGCAGAGGGAAAGACAAAATCAAGGAATGGGCTTTTTTAATACAAGAAAATCTTCATATGTTTACTTTACCAGGGGATAGTGCAAATGGAGAGGGAAAGGCTGTAGACACAAGATAGCTGAGGATGCAAGGACTCAGAAGAGGCAGGAGAGGGGAAATCCAGAGCAGAGAAGAGCTTACCTTGCAGAAGAAGGAGGCAGTCTCCTCTGAGTCAGGAGCCAAGGAATTAAGAATGGGTAAGGCTACAAATAAATGGTAAGTGTTGGGATAGGTAGGAGTGGAAGGAGGGCTCGGGGAGATACTACCTGAAGTCCTGTTTTCTCTCAGGTGGGAAGCAAGGTCATTTGTCGAAACGTAGGAAAATAGAGAGCAGAGACCACTGGTAGGACTGAGGAAGGGAGAGTGTCCACAGGCACACAAAAGGAAAGCGGGATGCTCCAAATAAAGACCCACCTAAGGCAGGGAAGGACACATTCTAGGAGCCCCCAATCACTGGCTGTTAATTTGCATCCAGCACAACTCAGCAACTTCAATGGTTGAGTAGGTGGCGCCTCAGGTCCAAGGCAAAGACTGTGCTGTTTCAATCAAGCACTGTTTCATTTTCCTCCTGTGCATTCAGCTAGATTACATTTTTCAGTCTTTTCCTTGCAGTTGTCTGGGGTCCTGGAACTGAATTCTGGCCCCTAAAACTAGAACACAGGCCTGACCCCTCAAAACCCTCCCTCAGAAGCCTCTGCCCACCATAGCCTCCAGCAATGAAGAGGATCCAGGGAGGCTCCGTTGCCTAACGATGGCGAGAACAAAACAGAGGTTCAGAGGCCTCAAGCAAGAATGCTCATGGCAGCCCTATACATAGTAACTCAAAACTGGAAATTAGCCAGATGCCCGCCAATGGCGGAAAGTGATAGACATTCATACAACGGAATGTAACTTAGCAGTAAAAAGGAACCAACTACAAACACAGGCAATGACATGGATGAAGCTCAAAAATATGTGAGCAAAAGATGCCACAGACAAAGAACTGTATGATTCCACTCACACAAAGTCCAAGAGCAGGGAAAACTCATCTACGGTGACAGTAAGAAATCAGTCGTTTGGGTAAAGGGGATAGAAAAATTCCTGGGTTCTACATTCTTTCTGTGAATGGTGGTTATTGGTATGTATACAATTGTGAAAATTCATCACATCTGATGATTAAGATCTGTGCATTTTGTTACTGTATGTAATACTTCAACTTCTTTATAAAGCTGGGATACCATTTTTCACCAAATTGACCAAAAAAAATTTTTTTTTTCTTTTTTTGAGACAGGGTCTTACTTAACTGCCTGGAGTGCAAGGCAAGTGTAGCCTCGACTTCCTGGGCTCAGGTGATCCTCCCACCTTCACCTCCCAGACTACAGCCATATTTTGTTCTTTGTAAAGTCGGGGTTTCGCCAATGCCCAGGCTGGCCTCAAACTCCTGAGCTCAAGCAATCAATCCACCTGCATTCACCTCTCAAAGCACTGGGATTATAGGCATGAGCCACCATGCCCAGCCAACAAAAGGACTGTTTAAATCAAAATATTCAATGATAAAAAGGACGACGAGAAGTACTTTCATGTCCTAAAGGTAAAAATTAAATTGGGACCTTTCAGAAATTTCTCACACATGAGTATCAATCCTAATGAGTAATTAAGAGAAAAAGATTTTCTGTATGTGGATATTTTCCCACTATTTTATGTAGCAAATCAGAAAAATCTGATGCTCAATAATAGTTTTTAAATGGTCATAAGAAAATATTATAAAGCCATTACAAATCAAATTTTCAAAGAACTTTCAATGCCACAGTAATACTAATATAACTACATTTTTCAAAAATTAAAGTAGGTTACCAAACTTTATAACAGTATGAGCCCAAATAAGTAAAAAAGAAAAAAAGAGAATATGCTATAGAAACAGAATTCATTTCAGTTTCATTATTACTAACATGGCTTTGAAGAGTAATTTAACTTCCACATCTGTAAAATAGCAATAACCAACACTCTGGGATGTTGAGAAGATGAAACAAAAATATAAAACATTTGAAAACATTAAAACATGACATTGTTAGTTGAAATTATCCACAATACTCTCCTATTTAATGCTTAACTTCCATTTCTCAATTAAGCACATAATGTCCAATATTATAAGGACATACTATATCTGAAACAAATATAAACGTTATCCCCTTTTGGATTATATGTTACAGTATTCTTTCCACCTTAATGGATAGCCCCATATACCTGGTGCACTGTTGGAGAAAAACATCAGACAAAAACCACATTCAAATCCTGACTAATGTAATTTTAGACAATGTAATAAACGTCAGCTTTTCATCAGCAAATAGCTGTTTTTCAATTATTATAGTATTCTGCTACTACATTCATCTGCAGATAATACCAGCTACTGCTTATTAAACATATCATATACTAAACCTGCTTACTCTGCAAATGGATATTAATAACCCCATTGTACAGACCAGCTGAGATTTCAGCAACTTATGTAAATATCTGATACAATTACTTAAAAGAAAAAAATTTCAATTCATGTCAAATTTTAAAATTGGAGAAGCAATGATTTGGAAAGTAGATTTAAAATTATTACATCAACACAAGTACTAAAATTCAGGCACTTTTTGTTTGTTTTTTGAGACAGGGTCTCACTCTGTCACCCAGGCTGGAGTATAGTGGCAGGATCACAGCTCACCGCAGGCTGGAACTCCTGGGCTCAAACAATCCTCCCACCTCAGCCTCCTGAGTAGCTGGGGACTACAGGTATGCATCACCATGCCTGGCTACTTTTTTTATTTTTTGTAGAGATGGGTTCTCACTATGTTGTCCAAGCTATTCTCAAACTCCTGGCCTCAAGTCATCCTTCCAAAATGCTGGGATTGCTGGTGTGAGCCACCACAATATTCTTAAATGTCTCCATCTTCACCAAAAAAGCTGCAGAAATTTGCTCCTTCCCTAGATGCCACACATCCTTTCTCGTGTGTCCGTTTAAAATAGTCACTAAGGAAAGTGTACATTGTTTCCTGGGTCATTTCAAGTACAGACCAGTGGCAAGGATACATCCAAATGGTATTCACATTTAAACTTTCATCCATTTTGGCCGGGCGCGGTGGCTCATGCCTGCAATCCCAGCACGCTGGGAGGCCAAAGCGGGCAGATCACGCGAGGTCAGGAGTTCAAGACCAGCCTGGCCAACATGGTGAAACTCATCTCTACTAAAAATGCAAAAAGTAGCCAGGCGTGGTGGTGGGTACCTGTAATCCCAGCTACTTGGAAGGCTGAGGCATGAGAATCGTTTGAACCCATGAGGCGGAGGTTGCAGTGAGCCAAGATTGTGCCACTGCACTCCACTCCAGCCTGGGCAACAGAGAGAGACTGTCTCAAAAAAAAAAAAAAACTTTTATCCATTTTGATAGTTTAAGGACTTTTTAAAACATGAAGCATTTAAAACAAACGTATAAAACACATAGACAAAACAGTCTTTTCAGGTGCTTGTAAATTCAAAACGTTTACTTAGGGCAGGTCCACACAAGACCACCTGCTCATTTCAAGAGGTCACTTCTAGTGACTCCCGTGATTGTGCTCTGTACTGGATGAGTCAGAGCCCAGCTTCCATCAGTGAGTAAATGTCACATGTCCCCCCGACAACCCCTGCTTTTTTTCCTTAACAATTTCCCAGGTAAACCTGAAATGCCTAAAGAGCTGTGTTATTTCATCACCCCCATAAAGCATTTCCAACCATTAGTCAGTAACTCTCACCCCTTCCCCTTTCCAAATGCAACACCCCATCTCACCTGCACTCTCCATTGCAAAATAAGAGTACTACTTGCCTCTAATTCAAATTCAGTCAGCAAAATTTCACTCCATTTAGATCAACAGTGCTGGTCACGGGGGCTCAAGCCTGTAATCCCAATACTTTACAAGGCCGAGGCAGGTGAATCACTTGAGCTCAGGAGTTCCAGAGACCAGCCTGGGCAACAAGAAGAAACCCTGTCTCTACGAAAAACACACAAATTAGCCCAGCGTGGTGGACCGCACGTGTAGTCTCAGCTACTCAGGAGGCTGTGGTGGGAGGATCGCCTGAACCCAGGAGGTAGAGGCTGCAGTGAGCCGAGATCACGCCACTGCACTCAGCCTGGGCAACAGAGCAACAGCCTGTTTTGAAAACAAAACAAAACAAAATTTGGATCAATAAGCATTTTTGGCCAGATGTGGTAGCTCACACCTGTAATCTCAACCCTTTGGTAGGCTGAGGAGGATAGATTGCTTGAGTCCAGAAGGTCGAGACAAGGCTGGGCAACGCGGAGAGACCTCGTCTCTACAAAAAAATATAAAAATTAGCCGGGCGTGGTGGTGAGCACCTGTGGTCCCAGCTACTCCAGAGGCTAAGATGCGAGGATGAGGTGGGTGGATCACTTGAGCCTGGGAGGCGGAGGCTGCAGGGAGCCGTGATCACTCCTCTACACTGCAGCCTAGGTGACTGAGCCAGACCCTGTCTCAAAAACAAAACAAAACAAAGTATATTTTGCCTGTGAATTCCACGAACCACTCTGCTTCCTACCTAAGGGCCAACATCTACTGTTTCCTGCATACTAGGCATTGTATTAATTGTATTTTACATACGTCATCTCATTTAACCCTCACAACAACCCTGAGGTACTAACAGGTGCTGATCTATTTCATCGTTGGGAAACTGAGGCTTGGGTATGAAATGTGCCCAGGGGTTACACGGCTAGTGAGTGGCTGCGGTGGGACTGGATCCCAGGCAATCCGACAAAAGAGCTCCCGTAGCAACTGCTATTAATACAACTAAGAGAACAACTCAGTCCTTGGAGTAGTCTACAATGTGAGGTGGTATTACCACGGAGAGTCCACGTGCAGACCTTTCCCCGCAAACACGCACGCCAGTAAGCATTTACTCGTAAGCATGCTTGCAGTTCAGAGCTTCTAGTCCACCCAGAAAACGTTTTCTGTGCATTCCTATGGATCTCCTTTTGTCTTCCCGGGATGGAAGACGTGACACCGGCGCCAAATCTGAACAGACTCTCTCACTACACCAGTTCATGGAACAGAAAATCTGTCTCCGGCAACAGGTTAAGTCTGAAGACCGAGGCTACCTGCTGACCAACAAACTTTAAAGGCTGACTTCAAAAGGCAGCCAGGCCTAGCTAATGCTGCGGGGCCTTCCCCAGCCGCTCTTCCTGCGACAGGGGCGTTCCTGAAGGGAGGCTGAAGAGGAATGGGCCGACGACGGGTCTGCAGCTCCCTCCCGGCGGGCACAGGAAAGGTGGAGCCCGCAGCCATGGGTCCCCGCTCCGTGGCGCGGTGGGCCGGGGTCTCGGCACCGCCCCGTCCCCCGCCCCGCCGCTGCGGCAAGGCTGAGTCACCGCCTCCGTCCCGCTGCGGGGCCGCCCAGGCCAGAGGACGGGAAGGTCGCGTCCCCCGGGCTTGGACAGCCGTCGGGGTCGGAGCGAGGGCCGGGGCCGGGGCTGCGAGAAAAGCCTCGAGCCCTGCTCGCTGTTCCGGGGCGGGGAGCCCGCGGTTCGGGCCAGTCAGCGCCGGAGGCTCGGGGGAATCCACGGGTGGCGCCGGGCCCGGTCCCCCGAGGCCGAAGCGAGCCGGGCGCCAAGGAGCCGGGCTGGGCCACCCGCCGCCCCACACCGGCCCGGTCTCGCGGCCACTCCCGGCCCGGTCTCGCGGCCTCTCCCGCCGGCTCCTCACTCCTGCCACTCGCCGCCTCGCTTACTTGGCTTTGAGGCGCAGCAGCTCCTCAAACTGCCCGGCTGAGCCGACCTCCTCCAGCGCCGCTACAGCTGCCTCAGCCGCCCCCGCCGCCATGCTGCCGCCGCCAGACAGAAGCAATCGCGTGCCGGCGGCCGGATGTAGGCGGGGCCGCGGAGAGCTTAGCGGCTGCGCGAGGGAAAGCCCCGCCCCTGCCTGCGCTGACGCTGCAGAGCCTGGGAAATCCCAGAAAGGGCCTCGGCAGCGGGCGCTGAATCTCGCTGGGTGGCTCTGGATCCCGCGGGGTGGCTCTGGATCCTGCTGAGGGGCTCTGACCCTGCCAGGTCTGGGCACTCCGCTGCAGGCCTCCTGGCTTCCGGAGTTCATGGCTGTCATGGTTCCTGGCTGTCAGGGCTGTCGGGGCTCCCTGGCTGTAGTGGCTCCTGGCTGTAGGCGCTCCTGGCCCTATAAGGGCTTCTGGCTATAGTGGCTTCTGGCCGTCCAGGCCCCTGGCTGTAGGGGTTCCTGGCTGTAGGGGCTCCTGGCTGTAGGCGCTCCTGGCTATAGTGGCTTCTGGCTGTCGGGACCCCTGGATGTCGGGGTTCCTGGCTGTAGGGGCTCCTGGGTGTTAGAGTTCCTGGCTTTCTGGCTATAGTAGGGGCTCCTGGGTGTCAGGGTTCCTTGCTGTCAGGGCTCCTGGTGGTAGAGGCTTCTGGCTGTTGGGTTCCTGGCTGTCGGGTTCCTGGCTGTCGGGGTGACTGGGTGTCGGGGCTCCTGGTGTTAGGGTTTCTGGCTATAGTAGGGGCTCCTGGGTGTCAGGGTTCCTTGCTGTCAGGACTCCTGGTGGTAGAGGCTTCTGGCTGTTGGGGTTCCTGGGTGTCGGGGCTCCTGGCTGTCAGGGTTCCTGGCTGTCAGGGCACTTGACTCCTTAGGCTCCTGGCTTTTGGGGCTCCAGACCTTCCTTGCACTTCCTGTGTCTCCTGGGTCTGCAATAGTGAGAAGGGGCCGGTGGAGGAGTGGGGGTGAGACGTGAGTGAAAGTGAAATCAGATGTGTACATTTAGGAAGCTGAAATTATCAAAAATGAAATTGCATAAAGGTGAGGAAGAACTGGGAGGTTTGGGAACAGAAGTGGTAGATCTTGAACTTCAACACAGACCCGGTGCTTCCAGCTCAGTCCTGAATTCAGACCTGAACCTGGAGCCCACAGCATGTCCCTCCTCCCCTGGCCTCCACGCCTGCCACCACTCATTGCAGCCCCACCGAGCCATCATCCATTGTAACCTCAGAACAATGGATTCTGCTGGGTGGGTCCACTGGGTTGGGGGCATGGGTCCAAGATCCCTGCATTCCTCCTCCCTGGCCTCCTCAAGTAGTCCCTGGCTTGTCTTTCTCCCTTGGGAATCCCCCTGATGTGGGCTCTCCATGTGGCGTACTCTGTATCCCCATGCTTCCCACACACTTTCTGGCCTGAGTAATCTCCACTCCCCCAGTGACATCAACCTCCAGGGAAACCTCAACAGCCAGCCCAGAACCCTCCCCTGCACCCCAGAGCCCAGCATCCATTAACTTTGAGGAGGGGCCATCTTTTATTGGATATCCCCAAACCACACTGGGCCTTCCCTCCAAAGTGCCTCTCCTCTTGGTTCCCATCTCAGGGAACACCATCGCTCCTACCCAGACACTGGGACTCCCTCTGACTGGTCCCCCTGCTGTCCCTGGGCTTTGAGGCCAAGCCCCCACAGAGCCTTCCCTACTAGCCAGGTGTTCCCAGGCCCCCTGTGCTTGCTTCTACCATGGCCTGTCTCATGTTCTAGAACTGTGTTTGTCCCCTCCATTGGCCTGTGTTCTCAAAGGGCAAGAGCTGGTCTGTGTCTCAGTGCCTGGATCAGAGTCAGACACATAGGAGGCACTCAGTCTGTGCTAACAGCTGCCAGAGGACTGGGCTCACTGGATTGCAAAGACTTCGTATGAGAAAAGTAGCATATCATTCATACTTTTTATATTGATTACATGTTGAAATGAGGATATTTGGATATATTGGGTTTTCTGAAATATATTATTTAAATTGGCCTCTTTTACCTTTGGCTCCTGAGAAATGTCTAATTTCATAGGCAACTTTCATTCGTGGCCCCTGAGTTTTCTTGGGCAGCACCACTGTGGTGATTAAAAGAGACCTTTTGGAGCCCGTCACATGTATACCTCACCTAGAGAAATACATAATATTGAACACAGTAAATTATGTTATTTAAAATGCAACGGGAGAATGATGAGGAACCATTTTGTATCTTACCTGTGGTGGTAGGAACACAAACTAAACATGATAAAATTGTTAGAACTTGGCTGGGCACTCTGACTCACACCTGTAATCCCAACACTTTGGAAACCCCAGGCAGGAAGACCACTTCAGCCGAGGAGTTGGAGACCAGCAGGGCAACATAGGACGACTCAGTCTCTACAAAAAAAAAAAAAAAAATGAGCCAGGCATGGTGGCTCACACTTGTGGTCCCAGCTAGGTGAGAAGCTGAGGTGAGAAGATCACTTGAGCCTGGGAGTTGGAGGCTGCAGTGAGCCATGATCCTGCCACTGCTACTGCCCACTAACCTGGGCGATAGAGCGAGACCCTGTCTCAAAAACAAAAACAAACTAAACACACACACGCACGCGCGCACGAGTACAAGTAAAACTGGGAAAATGAAAAAGATCAGTGGATTGTTTAAAATATCAACATCCTGGTTGTAATATTACAGTTTTGCAAGGTGTTGTCATTGTAAGAAAGTGTACACAGGATCTGTATTATTTCTTACAACTGCATGTGAATCTACAGTTCTTTTAAAATAAAAAGTTTAGTTAAAAACAATGTAAATAAGATTTTAAAGTTTACTATGAAAAGAATGCAATAGGAGGGAAAAAGACACCATGTCAAAAAAAAGAAAAAGATACCATGTCATAAAACAAGATACACATTCTGGTCATCATGTTTTTTTCTTTCCTTTTCTTTTTTTGAGATGGAGTTTTGCTCCTATTGCCCAGGCTGGAGTGCAATGGCATGATCTCGGCTCACCGCAACCTCTGCCTCCCAGGTTCAAGCAATTCTCCTCCCTCAGCCTCCTGAGTAGCTGGGATTACAGGGATGTGCCACCACACCCGGCTAATTTTGTATTTTTAGTAAAGATGAGGTTTCTCCATGTTGGTCAGGCTGGTCTCGAATTCCTGATCTCAGGTGATCTGCCCACCTCGGCTTCCCAAAGTGCTGGGATTACAGGCGTGAGCCACCACGCCCAGCTTGTGATTATCATTTTTAAGTAGAATTGAATGTAAATAAAACATATAACTATATCAGTGAGTGGCGCATAGAAAAGGGCCTCCAGAAGGATGCTCCCCAAATTATTTTCAGAGCTTGCCTCCAGAAAGCGGAAACAGAGGAGAGCTAAAGGGAGGCCCTTCACTTTGGCTTACACACTTCTTTGTGTCATTTGCATGTTTTCCAATAGCATGGACTGCTTTTGAAATTTAAAAAATAATGAAATTGTATTGCATAGGGGAAATGTCCTATAGTGAATCCTTTTCAAAAAAAAGCAGTAATCACCCCTCAAATGTGGCTGTTTTATAAATGCTGATTTTTCTTTTTTATTATTATTATTTATTTATTTATTTATTTATTTTTGAGATAGAGTCTCACTCTGTTGCCCAGGCTGGAGTGCAGTGGCGTGATCTTGGCTCACTGCAAGCTCCGCCTCCCAGGTTCACGCCATTCTCCTGCCTAAGCCTCCCGAGTAGCTGGGACTACAGGTGCGTGCCACCACGCCCAGCTAATTTTGTGTATTTTTAGTAGAGACAGAGTTTCACCGTGTTAGCCAGGAGGGTCTCGATCTCCAGGCCTTGTGATTCGCCCACCTCAGCCTCCCAAAGTGCTGGGATTACAGGCATGAGCCACCGCGCCTGGCCCGCTGACTTTTCTTTTAAGTGGAATTTGCTGAAAGTAGCACAAACCAGTTGCAGAGCAGACTCTTTAAAAAGAAAAATGCTATGAAAACTCCTGGATAACACTTCCATTTTTGCCCTTTTTGTAGTTTATTATTGTAGGAGCCACAGGAAAGCTTCCCCTTAGCCCTCTGATGGTTTGCTGAAAATCACTGACAAAAGGCAGATTAATAGGAGAAAAGATATACAAATTTATTTGATCACAGTTTCACGAGACTCGTGAGGACTCAGAGATACAGGGAAAACTGTCCATTTTTATGCTTAGGTTCAACAAAGTATGGACAGTTGTGTAGAAATATGATTGGACAAAATGGGTGTACTCTTATGCTAGCAGAACTCACTGAGGGCTTTGCAGATGCTGACGCCCCCCTAGGAACCCCCTGCTACCAGCCATGGTGAATCCCACCATGTTCTTCAACATGGCCATCAATGGTAAGCCCTGGGGCCATCAAACAGCCCTTCAGGCTGTTTGCAGACAAGATTCCAAAGACAGCAGAACAGTCTCGTGCTCTGAGCACTGGAGGGAAAGGATTTTGTCACAAGGGTTCCTGCTTTCACAGAATTATTTCAGGGTTTATGTGTTAGGGTGCTAGCTTCATATGCCATAATGGCACTGGTGGCAAGTCCATCTACAGGGAGAAATTTGATGATGAAAACTGTAGCCTGAAGCATACAGGACCCGGCATGTTGTCCAAGGCAAATGCTGGACCCAACACATATGGTTCCCAGTTTTGCATCTGCACTGCCAAGACTCAGTGGTTGCATGGCGAGCCTATGGTCTTTGGCAAGGTGAAAGAAGGCGTGAGGGTCCCGAAATGGCAAGACCAGCAAGAAGGTCACCATTGCTGACTGTGGACAACTCTAATAAATGTGACTTTGTGTTTTATCTTTTAAAAAGAACTGACTGCGAAAACCCAGCAGGGCCTGTCTGGTGTTCAGGTTCTTCCTGGCCTCTGTGCAGCCTCCTTCCTTCTGGGTAAAGGAGCAAGACCCTCTCTGGAATGGGGGTCTTATGACCTACACTCAAGCAAGATAGGTCAGAACATTTCTTTTTGGCCAGTTTTTTGTTTGTTTGTTTGTTTTTGAGATGGGGTCTCGCTCTGCCACCCAGGCTGGGGTGCAGTGGCATGATCTCGGCTCACTGCAACCTCTACCTCCCAGGTTCAAGTAATTC